ATTTTTTTAATTGTAGAAAAAAGTTACACCCAATCACATAAAATCCTTTCCCCAAAAAATGTTGAGGCCACCCCAACCGCACATAACGCAAGTACAAATGTAAACGCACGCTTCAGGACGTCAATCGCAATACACATGTTATATATCGCCGCGCACGCCAGAATAAAAGAAATAATCCTAGCACCAGACCACCCACCATAACGCTAAACTGATGACCTAAGGATAAGTTCACCTTCGGGAACATGTTACATGTTCCAACCATTTCCTGCAGCAGCTTGCTGGCGATCCCAGCCCTTTGTGTGACAGCAGTAAGGGGAGAAATTCACCATACCAGCTGTCACTTTTTAAACAAAGTTCTGTGAATGAATCAACTACAAATACAAATGTAGTTCTCAACAAACTACCACAGTTGGCTGTGTGAAACTGTCTGCTCGTACGATGTACGTACAGACAGATTACACTGACAGTCCTGCATTACACCCATAATCTGCTGATTGCAATGCTTCTGGGTTCCTAAAAAAAGAAGAAGAAAAAAAAAAAGTAAATGCACATTTTTTTACCTGCAAAAAAAAAAAAAAAGCGCATTTATAATTTTTTTAAAAAAGGTGAACTTATCCTTTAACAGACCTGGCAACCTACCCTGTAAAATAATTGCTAAGAGAATTCATGGAAAAAGTCGCTTGCGAGTGACAGTCCATGCAACCTCCAAGGGTCAGATACGACTGAATGGATAGATAGACAGATAGATCCTTTAACAGATGGAACACTGGAGTTTGATTTGGCTTCTCAGCATGTGCTGCTTATAATGGTTTTTTTTTGTCTCATTGGGCCGGCACCCCTCATTTACTCATGCACATTTTACAGATGCACATCTGCTGAGCGTTAGGAGAGCCCAACACTCCCCTTTCCTGTACATACTGTCCACTGTCATACCCTCCGCCCTCCTCTCCTGTACATATTGTCCACTGTCATACCCTCCGCCCTCCTCTCTTGTACATATTGTCCACTGTCATACCCTCAACATTCCTCTCCTGCACATATTGGCCACTGCCCACCCTTGTTGCCTGTACATACTGCCCACTGTCATACCTCTGCACTCTTGCACATGCTGCCACTGCTATACCCTTTGCAATCCTCTCCTGCACATAATTCATAATGTTGTATCATCTGCACTCCTCTCTTGTACATACTGCCTGCTGTCATACTCTCTACACTTCTCCCCTGTACATACTGCCCACTGTCATACCCTCTGCACTTCTCTCTATACATACTGCCCACTGTCATACCCGCTGCACTTCTCTCTATACATACTGCCCACTGTCATACCCTCTGCACTTCTCTCTATACATACTGCCCACTGTCATACCCTCTGCACTTCTCTCTATACATACTGCCCACTGTCATACCCTCTGCACTTCTCTCTATACATACTGCCCACTGTCATACCCTCTGCACTCACCTCCTGTACATATTGCCCACTCCCATATCCTCTGCACACTTCTGCTGCATATACAGTACTGGGCACTTGCATACCCTTTGCACTCCTCCCCAGCACATACTGCTCAATGTAATACCCCTTGAAATCCTCTCCTTACTGCTGATTTCAAGACTTCTTCAGCACTGTTTGTAATGTCCACAGCCCTGCCTGTGCCTTTTTCTAGTATATCCAAAAAAGCTTGGCTCCAATCTTTCCTACCCATCACATTAAAATACACCTGTCATCAAATAAGTGCAGGTGCTGCCATGGCTGATTTTCTCTTGAAAATGAATACTGAATCATAAAAATGGAACAAGCATGCTATATATAGGAGAATCAGAAAAACTGTCAGAATTCTTTATTTCTACACTTTTGTGTACTGACATTTCCTCAGAATGACAGCCAAAGAATTAACATTCTCAGAATGTAGGGCCAGCTATGGCAGCCTACGTAATTGTCTAACATAAGGTATATTTAAAAGGACTAACAGGGAGTCTCTTCTAATAAATATAATATATTGCACCTTAACAGTCATTAGAACTAGAGGCTATATTAGTTTTACTTTATTCAGGCCGTACACACCTTGATTTTCACTTGGTGATCCTGCCAGTAACACACATCCTATGCCTGAGACAAAACTCAATCACAGAATTGTATCTATGCAGAATCAGCGCTGTTACCCTAGGACAGGGCTACAGAACACTTGCCACCTCTCCAATTCTGTATCATAAAGGGGATGTTTTTTGTAGTTCACAGAGCTGAACTGGACAGGGTTCACAGCAGGAAAGACGCTACATGTTCAACTTAAATTGGAAGTTACAAACTTAACGGATTTCTGACAGATCAGCAAGAGCTGTTTTCCATTTTTTAAAGAGACAAAAAATGAAAGAATTCGAGAAATGTACTAAATGAAAAAAAATTTGCCCAGACATACACTTCAAAGCCATTTCTATTCTAGTTAAATACAAGCAGCAAGTGTCTCTATTAGGCATGTGTATGATTACAGAAAGCCATTTATTCAGTAATGTGGTCCAAAACACATCAGTGGTTTACATATCAAAATCTTATTAATGCTAATAATGCCCCTAAAGGACAGAGCACGATGCTAGAAATTACTTACTCTCTGAATGTGATAATTGGTCTTACAATATGTTCTGAAAAGTCTTTATCTAAAGTGATAATTGGCTGTATCGGTCACACTATTCCTGGCAGTGACAGTCTAATATAAATTCCTTTGACTTCTGTGAAAGGTCAGCCTCATCAAATATCAGTGACAAGCACATAATAAAAGACGGGAGAATGACAAAAGAACAAAAACTATTAGGCAGTGCACATAATAATGAGCAAAAAAAATGTGTTCATAAAAAACATAAAACCTGAAACAGTAGTCCATATCTTTATGTGAAATCTTGAATAATCAATAAAGTCATCGATGTGCATCATTTAATTCTCTAGGTGCAATCCCACGACCTGCTAGACTGGAATTCGCCACATCTCACTGAGCACCAGTTTAAAGTGATATTAAAAGTGGTTCTAAAGCTTTGGTTTTTTTTTCTTCTTTAACCTGTTCACACCAGCCTAACGCAAATGTGCAGCCTCCCGGCATCTGGGCCTAGACCGCCGAGCGGTCGCACATTCATGTTCTATTTAAAAAAAAGAACATATGTGCTGAGAGCGCGCGCCCTGCGTGCTCCCAGCACACGTTCGGTACTCACGGAAAGGTCCCGATCTCCTCTTTCGATCGGGACCTTTCCCGATCATGTGACCGCCGTGTCACATGACCCTAAACCCTGCCCCGCCTCCTGAAACCCTTAGAGGACCGGGAGGCGCCGGCAGCAAGGGGTTAAAATAAACACATCATACTTACCTGCTCTGTGTAATGGTTTAGCACAAAGCAGCCCCGATCCTCCTCTTCTCGGGTCCCCTGCCAGCACTTCTGTCCCCTCCCCCTTGCAAGCTGCTTGCTCGGAGGGCGCTTATCTGTGCTCGCTCCCAAGTCACCTCTGTGTGTCTACACACAGCATGGCTCAGTCCCGCTTCCAATGGCTCCCACTGCTGTGTCTCAGACAAAGCCGAAAGTCCTGAGACAGCATCGACTCTAGAGCACATCACTGGATCGGGATATGGTAAGTATTAGGGAAGACTGCGGGGTGAGCTGCACTCTGAAGGTTCGTTGATTCTATGCATAAAGGTAAAAAATCTTCATCTTTTACAGCCACTTTAAGGTTTCATGCACACTAGGTTTTTGAAGCTACTTCTAGGGGTGTCAGCTACGTCTTTACTGCCGCTATAGTCCCCTGCATGTTATCCTATGCTCCATGCACACATAGGTTTTTAACAGCGTTCTGTTGCAGGAGAGTTTAGTGGCAGAAAGAAAAAAAAAAACCATCAAGGTATCCTGGAGCAGCAGTGTTTTGGTTCAAATACCGCTTGACGTGCTTAATTGTGCCTAAACGCTAGGTGCGTTTAGCTCTTGAGTGTTAATTTGTTTCAATGGCCACAATAAATGATTAATTATGAAGTCAATTAATGCTCAAATGCTGCACACTTTTTACAAGCGTCAGGCGTTTTTTTGGCCAAAATGCTGCTGGCTTCTAGGGGAGTTAAAATGAAACATCAGTGTGCGTTAGACCTAAAGGCTAGGGCTTTAAAAGAAACAATAACAAGTTTGTCATACGTGCCTGCTCTGTGCAATGGTTTTGCACAGAGCAGACCTGATCTTCCTTTTCTCAGGTCCTCCACTAGTGCTCCTGGCGCCTCCCCCTGTTGAATGCACCCAGAGCAAGCCGCTTGCTCTAGGGGTACTTGTGCATGCTCGGAGTAATGGAACAATGTGTGAAACACAGAGCAATGGAAGAAGGTGGCCTGGTATGACAATAACAAGTTTGAGGTGTTGATTTGGCCTCCAAGTTCACCAGCTCTCAATCCAATCGAGCATCTGTGGGATGTGCTAGAAAAAAACAAGTCCGTTTCGTGGAGGCGACATCTTGCAACTTACAGGACTTAAAGGATCTGCTACTTATGGCTTGGTGCCAGATTCCACAACATATGTTCAGAGGTCCAGTGGAGTCCATGCCTCACCAGGATACGGTGGGTGGTCATAATGTTATGGCTGATTGGTGTATAGTGCTTAGCGGTATTAAAATAAAGTTTCTTCTCCACAGGTAAGTCTTTTTGAAAATACCTAGGTTAAAAAGACATGGCCAATCTGCCTACACCAGAGACTTTCCTTTATTTCACTTGAGAGACAGTCAGTCTCCTTTGCATGTGGATGCCATTTTTGTCTTAATAAGAGTAAAGTCAGCCTCAGATTTAGTCAGGATAATCTATATCTTTTAGTTAAATATTTCAATGAGATTTGGGAACAAAGTGATTTCTTTGTAAGATTACTTCTGTGGTTTTTAAAATTTCAGTACAATCCTTTAACTACTTCCCGTCCGGCCCATGTATATAAACAGCTGGACGGGAGCAGTGCAGGGGTGGGTGGCCGTTTATAAACGTCCTCCCCACTTCCCTGCTTGCGTGCGCTCCCTGGGACCGATTGTTGTATGGGACCTCTGTGTGAGGTTCCGATCATAAGATCATTGATTGGCCAATCAGTGATCACATAAAGAGTAGTAAGAAAGATGTCACTTCTGACATCATTGCTTACTACGTGTGAAATCTGTGAATGATCACAGAAGTCACATGGTACAAGGCTATTCACAACAGCCTTGTACCATGTGACAAGCTCTGACCAATCACAGCTCACACAGTATTTCTCAATGGCTGCATATATATGTATAGATATGTGATTTGCGCACCCCTGCCGCCCTATAGCAGTAATTCTGCTATAGGGTGGCGGGAAAGCCCCAGAAATTACAAAAGACACCTCAGATTTAAATATAGTTTTGGTTAACCACCTCCCGTCCGACTGTTGTATATAAACGGACGGACCGTGGCAGTGCAGGGCCGGGTGGCCGTTTATAAACAGCCTCCTCGCCCCCTGCTTGTGCGCGCTCCCTGGGAATGCGCAGCACCGTGATCCGGTGCCCGCTTTGTCCTCCAGACACACAGTGGGAACACCGATCGTCGTACGGGACCTCTATGCGAGTTTCCCGATCATGTGATCACTGATTGGCCAATCAGTGATCACATGCAGAGTAGTAAGCAAGATGTCACTTCTGACATCATTGTTTACTATGTGTGAAATCTGTGAATGATCACAGAGGTCACATAGTACAAGGCTATTCACAACAGCCTTGTACCATGTGACAAGCTGTGACCAATCACAGCTCACACAGTATTTCTCAATGGCTGCAAGAATGCAGCCAGAGAGAAGGAGAAATGATTGCTTTTACAGCTGTTATGGGTGTAAAAGCACTCAGTGTAAAAAAAAAATCTTCATCGCCCTCCACAAGTAGTACAGTGACACTGTACTGCTAGGGTGACAGTATGTTAAAATTTAAAAAAAAAACAAAGCAAAAAAAACAAACAATATAAAAAAAAGTAAAACAAAATTTGAAAAATTTTAATTTTTGGTTAATTTGTTTTTTTTTTTTTTTACAAAAAAGATAATTGAATACATTTTGGCTTGAAGAAATATTATTTATTTGCTAAATTTTATAAGAAAAACACTTTTTCCAAAATGTGTGGACTTTTTCATTTATATAGCAAAAAAAAAAAAATCCCAGTGGTGATTAAATACCACCAAAATAAAGTTTTATCTGTCTCAAAAAAATGCTAAAAAATTCATATGGGTACAGTGTTGCATGACTGCACAATTGTCATTCAAAGTGCGATAGCCCTGAAAGCTGAAAATTGGCCTGGACAGGAAGGGGGTAAAAGTGTCCAGACTTGAAGTGGTTAAAAAAAAAGCAAAAAACACAGAACCTGGCCTAATTTCATCAGGATAGAAAGATGAGAGCCGTCTCATATTTGAAGGTAAACAATTGGAGTCTGTCATTCTTATGCTTCCTTCATTACTTGGGAAATCACTGACCCGGAGAAGTATCTTCTTATCGGTTGTCCCTACACTTCAGTGGTTGCCTCACTCAGTCAATACGACTGTCCTGGAGATTTATGGTGGATTACTTTATTCTTACACTAAAATCCCAAGGTGCTAAGTGCACAGTCTAGTAACTCATAATTCACATTCCAGAAATCATACTAGAAGACATGGAGAAATCTGATTACTATGGATACTGCACTTTGCTCTTCCCATCATTTTACTGAATGCAGGCTCAATTATGTAAGCCGTACCGATCAATCGTTATTTTCAGTAATGACAGCAAGAGGAAGCTAAAAATAACTGTCACATGGCAGGAAGTAATGATTGTTATGGCACAAAATCACGGGTTATATTTATATACGTTAGTGAATTAAGTCTTCTGCCTGTTAAAATCCTCCGACTGGCAATGGCACCACCAGAAGTGCATAGGCATGCCATAACACCTAGCATGGCAATGGGCCTCCTAAGCAAATGGTGCTAAAAAAAGCCAGGTGGTGGGGAGCCAGGTGATGTCACCGGTCAGTCATGTGACCAGTCTTTAGTCAAGCCAACGTTACACAGAGAGAACTCTGCGGGACACACATCGGGCTCCACCATGCGACCAGCATTGTATTAATTATTCATACAATATAGGTGCAATTGTGAAGTAATTAAAGTGCAAAGTGGATAGATTTTCACCACTTTAAGACCAGGTCTTTTTCTGATATTTTTTGTTTTCCGTGCGAAATCAGTATTTTTTTTGCTAGAAAACTACTTAGCCCCCTCCCCCCCAAAAAAATGTATATATATATATATCTATATCTATATATCACAGTGGCTAAGTGGCTAGCCCTTCCGCCTGGCAGCACTAGGGGTTGTTGGTTCGAATCTCAACCACGGCACCACCTGCCTGGAGTTTGCATGTTCTCCCTGTGCCTGCTTGGGGTTCCTCTGGTTTCCTCCCAAACTCCAAAATCATGCTAGGAGGTTAATTGGCTCCTGTCTACATTGGCCATAGTATGTGTATGCATGAATGTTAGTTAGGGACCTTAGATTGTACACCCCTTGAGGGCTAGGGACTGATGTGAATGTACAACATATATGTAAAAGTGCTGCGTAAATTGACAGTGCTATATAAGTACCTGAAATTAATTAAAAAAAATAATTATATATATATATATATATATATATATATATATATATATATATAGCAGCAGGCCCTAGGAAATAAAATGGTGGTTGTTGCTATTTTTTTATGTCACACGGTACTTGCGCAGTGGTTTTTCAACAGCAATTTTTTAAAAATGTATTTTGACTTTAATGCATATAAACACAATATAATATCCAATTGTTTTTTGTAAAATATAAAAGATGATGTTACATCAAATAAATAGATGCCAAAAAAGTCACGATTGAAAACTGCACACACCTGTGCAACAGCAAAAAACGACGTACATTTTATTATCCATAGGCGGCGCTTTAAAAGACTTTACAGGCTACCACTTTAGATTTACACAGGTACGGTGCTAGAATTATTGCTCTCGATCTGACGTTCGCAATAATACCTCATGTGTGGTGCGATCCCTGTTTATGTACCAACGCGTACGTTCACCTTTGCATGAGTGCACTTTAAAATTTTTTGAATGCATTTTTTTTTACACTGTCCCTTTAAATTCTTTATTTTTAATCACTTGTATTGCGATCACACAGGATGCAAACATCCCTTATGATAACAATAGACAGAGACAGGTACTCTTTACTGAAAGATCTGAGGTCTAATAGACCCCATATCTCTCCTTTGCTCTTAACAACATCACAAGATTGGTGTGATCAGATGCTTTCCCAATTTAAAAATGGCGTTGTTTACATCTGGTGAAACCGGAAGTTACAAAGTACTCGTCACTTCCATTTTCTCAGATCGTAGAGATGATTGGGGCCATTCCAGTCACCATTCAGCTCTAAGGTCAGTCGGCGGAACCGCCAGCTGCACACACGGGCCGCAGAAGGAGGCGGGGGACGTTCCCTCCTGCTGCTTGTAAAAGCAATCCAGCAGCTAACTAGACACTTGGATTGCTTTTACAAGAAAGCCAGCCACCAGCTGAGAAAAACAATACCAGGATGATGCCTGCATTTGCATTTGCAGACATCATTCTGGCATAACCACTCAAAGACTGGTACGTCACCTGTAAAGTGTATCCGTAAAGCAGAATAATTCCAGGTATAGATATTTTTACATAGTTACATTCCTCCATCTTTGATCAAAGTAATTATTTATATGACATACCTGTGGTAACCCTCTAAAAGCTGGAAATCACTATTGTAGGCACTGCTATTTCAGTGATCCCCGGAAGCTTCTGCTTCCTTGCCGAGCATCTGTCCTGCTGTATTGTGAACACAGAAGGTCAGCCCCTGAGTAACAATGTCATTCAAACACTGCTTTGCATTTTTTAATGAATGCAAACTGTTCTCTGATTAGATGAGGTGGAGAGCGTGACTTCCTTGCCCCTCCTTGCCGAATCAGAGAGCACTTTCCATTCCACTCTACTGAGAGAATGCAAAGCAATTTCTGAATGTTGCCTCTGCTGAGCAAACTACCTCCTGTACAGAAGGGCAGCCGCTCAGCATGGAATCTAGAAGCAGCTGGAGATAGCATAGTTACATTGATCCAAGCTTGACCAATGTAACTTTGTAAAAATATCCATACCTGGAATTCTTCTTCATGAAAACTGAAGAAAGGGCTCCCAGATCTACTTGTAAACACCACTTAAATCAGTGACACTTTGTATTAAACAGTTTGAAGACTAATTTGGGTCATAGTACTAGGGTCGTTGGTTCGAATCCCAACCACGGCACCATCTGCCAGGAGTTTGCATGTTCTCCCTGTGCCTGCGTGGGTTTCCTCCGGGTACTCCGGTTAACTCCCACACTCCAAAGACATGCTGGGAGGTTAATTAGATCTTGTCTAAATCGGCACTAGTATGTGTATGTATGAATGTAAGTTAGGGCCCTTAGGTTGTACAACCCTTGAGGGTTAGGAACTGATATGAATGTACAATATATATATGTGAAGTGCTACGTAAATTGATGGCGCTATATAAGTACCTGAAATAAATAAATATACCTTAGAGCTCTGAAAATCCCCAAGGAGAAACCTGTGCAGCTTAGGCTTTAGTAAGTACAGTTGTGTTCAAAATAATAGCAGTGTGTTGAAAAAAGTGAATAAAGCTCAAAATCCTTCTAATAGCTTTTATTTCCATACACACAAATGCATTGGGAACACTACACATGCTATTCCAAATCAAAACATGAAGAAAAATAGATCAAATTTGTGTTTGTTCCTCTAAAAAAAGTGAAGAAAAGTGAATATTAGACTGTTCAAAAAAATAGCAGTGTTTGTATTCTTCTTTACAAACTCAAACATTCACTATATAAACTGAAAAATGTTTGAAGATTTTGCTTTCCTTTGAATCACTTAATTAATATTTAGTTGTATAAGCACTGTTTCTGAGAACTGCTGTACATCTGTGTTGCATGGAGTCAACCAACTTCTGGCACCTGTGAACAGGTATTCCAGCCCAGGATGATTGGACTACATTCCACAGTTCTTCTCTATTTCTTGGTTTTGCCTCAGAAACTGCATTTTTGATGTCACCCCACAAGTTTTCTATTGGATTAAGATCCGGGGATTGGGCTGGCCACTCCATAACGTCAATCTTGTTGGTCTGGAACCAAGATGTTGCATGTTTACTGGTGTGTTTGGGGTCGTTGTCTTGTTGGAACACCCATTTCAAGGGCATTTCCTCTTCAGCATAACGCAGCATGACGTCTTCAAGTATTTTGATGTATTCAAACTGATCCATGATCCCTGGTATGTGATAAATAGGCCCAACACCGTAGTATGAGAAACATCCCCATATCATGATGCTTGCGCAACCATGCTTCACTGTCTTCACAGTGTACTGTGGCTTGAATTCAGTGTTTGGGGGTCATCTGACAAACTGTCTCCGGCCACTAGACCCAAAAAGAACAATCTTACTTTCATCAGTCCACAAAATGTTGCGCCATTTCTCTTTAGGCCAGTCAATGTGCTCTTTGGCAAAATGTAACCTCTTCAGCATATCTTTTTTTCAACAGTGGGACTTTGCGGGGGCTTCTTGCAGATAGCTTGGCTTCACATAGGCGTCTTCTAATTGTAACAGTACTCACAGGTAACTTTAGACCTTCTTTGATCTTCCTGGAGCTGATTGTTGGCTGAGTCCTTGCCATTTTGGTTATTCTTCTATCCATTCGAATGGTAGTTTTTCACTTTCTTCCACGTCTTTCAGGTTTTGGTTACCCTTTTAAAGCATTTGTTATCATTTTAGCTGAGCAGCCTATCATTTCTGCACTTCTTTATATGTTTTCCCCTCTCCAATCAACTTTTAATCAAGGCACACTGTTCTTCTGAACAATGTCTGGAATGACCCATTTTCCTCTGAATTTCAGAGAGAAATGCACTGTAACCAGCATGTACAACATTTGCTGCCTTCCTTCCTTAAATAAGGGCAATAATTGCCACCTGTTTTTCAAAGAATGAATGACCTCACTAATAGAACTCCACACTGCTATTATTTTGAACATGCCCCTTTCAATTAGTGATTCAATTACACAGAATCAGCATCATGCATGTCATGACTGTTGGGTCTGTTGGATTTCTATTACTCTACTACACCTGCTAGTAAATTATTTGCCATGTTGAAATATCATTTCTACCAAAAACAGTGATTGATCAGGTTAGTGATGTCTGACTGCTATTATTTTGAACACAGCTGTATATAGGCCTAACTAACACATGATGATTGCATGACAGCCTCCATTTCTATCTTCCCAACATCTTCTAACTGCCAAAGGTTAGCAGTTGACAAACAGAGAACACATGCAACTGAACTTTCAGCAAAACTATACGTTTGTATTATTATTTAAGACACAAAGAAACTCAAAATTAGTATTTTGTATTACTCTCTAAAAATCTTGGTGAAAATTATTTAAATATTACAAAAACGTGTCAAAGGAGGGGGTAACAGCAGGCATTGAATATTCTATAGTTCTCCAATATAGAAAATATTGTTTAATATAGCTTATGAAGCCAGGTGACTCAGTTCACACAGTGCTTAGGGACACAGGAGGTTTACTTCCTGCTGTGCCATGTTAGAATGAACATGGGCTGCAATGTCTATCCACATTTAACAATGCAGTCACATTCACTTGTATTGTCCCTCTGGTCAGGTACCACATGCATTCAAGTTTTACCCATGGCATTTCTGGTATGATGGATATCAAAAGGATTCACAACAACCAGCCATGTTTCTAGTGAGGAGGTTGCTGTGTCCTCTACACCAGAGGTCTCCAAACTTTATCAAAAGGCCAGTTTTACCGTTCATCAAACTTTAGGGGGGCTGGCCTATGGCCAGTGGGAGAAGAAAATGTGCTGGCATCAGTGGGCCCATAACCTACAATAATACTGTGTTCCGATCCATATAAAACTGTATGCGGTACGAATGTGAATGTTGCAGTTTGCATGCATGAGCATTTAAGATTTGAATTTCTATGGCAGCTAGGGTGCCTCCAGATTCGACAAGCAAGCTGAATTTTACAAAGACATGCAAATGTCCAATACAACATGTAAGGCCTGTGTGGACAAAACTGGATTTACACTGGCTGATTTCTCCTATATTTTAACCACTTGCCCTCCAGAGGATTTACCCCCCTTGGTGACCTGGCCATTTTTTGTGCTATTTTAATGGACAATTAAGCGGTCATGCAATGCTGCACCCAAATTAAATTTACGTACTTTTTTTTTCCCCACGAAGAGAGCTTTCTTTTGGTGGTATTTGATCGCCTGTGCGGTTTTTATTTTTGGCGCTATAAGAAAAAAAAAAGACTGACAATTTTGAAAATAAAAATCAATATTTTTGACGTTTTGCTATCAAACGTGCAGTAAAAAAATTTGAAAAATCTAATTTCATCATAAATTTAGGCCAAAATGTATTCTGCTACATGTCTTTGCTAAAAAAAAAAAATCCCAATATGTGTAAATTAAATTGGTTTACATGAAAGTTATAGCGTTTACAAAATGGCGGTATATATATACTGGGATTTTTAAACATTTTTTACTAGTAATGGCGGCGATCAGCAACTTTTAGCGGGACTGCGGCGGGCATTCTGACACTGGGGGGAACTGATTTGGTGTCATTGACATCCCCAGTGACACCAATACAGTGATCAGTGCTAATAAAAAGCACTGACACTATACTAATGTCACTGGGCATGAAGGGGTTAACATCTGGGGTGATCAAAGGGTTAACTGTGTGCTGTTTTACTAAGGGCTGTGTGTTTGTGCTTCACTGTAAGCACAGCCATGCAAAGAAGTGTGCACAAGCTGACAGGGTGGAGAACTGTTTTGTTTACAAACAGTTCTCCCACCTGTCAGAGATGCAAGGCAATCAGCGGGCAGGGAAGAGTAATCACCGGCCGGGACCCGGTGATTGACAGCTGCAATTGGCAGCGTGGGTAGGGTGTGCGCCTCGCATGCGTCCCCTACCCGTAAATGCAAAATCACGTGTAAATGCAAAATCACGTGTATATATATATATATATATATATATATATATATAGTGATTTTTGCGCACACTGCCAACCTGTAGCAGTATATCTGCTATAGGGTGGTGGGAATGCGGTTAATGATTAATAAAACAAATACCTACAACACAGACTCAATGCAAGAGCACAAATAAAAGAAACTTTTGTCTATGTGCCCTGTTCACAAGCTGCATTGAAGTGGGTTGCGGTGCATTGTGTTGCATAAAAATGAAGACATACTTACAATGCACTGCATTTCACCCCAGCATACTGCAGTGCATGGTGTAGAAGTATCATTATGTGACATTTCAATAAAGTTAAATAAAAAAAGTAAACAGTGTGATGCTGTGACAACACATCGGACCATTCCTGCACAATGTACATGCATGTATTTTACTGTGTGGTTTAGTGTGAGTGAGCCCCCAACGTAATGTATGCAATAGATTATTATTAATTTAATGGCTATCCAGGGAGTAATTTGATCAGTGATAATTATAGGAATTCATTAAGGTTGTCTACGATACACTTTAGAATTACAGCGTGCCTCCGCATGACAAAATGCATGCCAGAGCAGGAGAGAAACTCATGTACCTGTTGAAAACGGGTACATTAATTTGGCACAAGCACTGTGCAGAAGGCATGGCTGAGCTCCCTCCCCACCACTTCACATGCCCCTTTGGACAGTGCAGCTGTTTTGTAGCTGGGTGAGTGGAGCCTGATTCAAACACCACTACTTCCCCACATGGAAGAAAAATATATTTTTAAAAATATGCTTCCCAAATATATTGACATATATTTGAAATGCCACAATTGTGGCCCTATATATATATATAGATATATATATATATATATATATATATATATATATATATAAAATAATGCGTTGTTATTACAAAATATATGGAAAATATTTTTAAAAATACATTTCAAATATACTGTATGTCTTTAAAAATAAAATCTACATTTTCGGAATGCATTTACAAATATATGTAAAAATATATGTTAAAATTAGTTTTTTATATGTTAAAAAAATCTAAAAAAATATATATTTTTAAAAATATACATTTTTTTTTTAAATATATTCTTCAAACATATTCTTCAGATTTGTTTTAACATATAAAAAAGTAATTTTAACATATATTTGTAAATGCATTCCAAAACATGTAGATTTGTATTATTAAAGACATACAGTATTTTTGAAATGTATTTTTAAAAATATTTTTCATATATTTTGTATTAAAAACGCATTTCAACATGCAGTAAATATATATATATATATATATATATATATATATATATATATTTTATTGAAATGTATTTTGAAATATATTGACTATGGCCAAAATTGTAGCATTGGAAATATATGTCAATAAAATATATTTTTCTTCCATATGGGTCCCCATCAGGTCCGCTCACCGTGTGATTAACAGCAGGCAGTGGGTGGAGCTATGCCAATACCCATTAGGTTCTGTGTAATGTCAGCATCAGTGGTGCTAGAGGACTGTCAGCTGTGAAGCTGGCAGTCCTCCTTGACAGCCAGTGACAGACGGAGAGAGGAGGGGTCAGTGCCAGCAAACATGCCGCCTGCTACACAACGTACAGAGACAGGCACTGTGCCTGTTTCTCTACTCCAACTCTTGCTGGCCATATACTAGTAGAATTGTGTTCCGCAGAATGGAAGTTTTCTTCAAATTAATACATTTCTAACACTGTATGTGGTTTTCGTTCAGGAAGTAACATTCATTCCAAAATCGAATGTTAAATGCATTCTATGCATACAGGTAAAAAACCTTCTGTATTCAGCAGAGCCCCCAGCCTCCCCTAATAGTTGCCTCGGTTGTCCTGGGTCTCTCCCTCCTCATTGGCTGAGACAGCAAGCAGGAGCATTTGGCTCCTGCTGCTGTCAATCACAGCCAGTCAGCCAATAAGGAATCCAGGACCAAGCTCAGCTCTGTGTGAATGGAAACATGGAGCAGCAAACCAACTGCTCGGGTACCACCATAGCAAGCAGTTTGCTATGGGGGCACCCAAACAGAAAGGAGGGGCCAGGAGCGCCAGCGGGGGACCCGAAAAGAGGAGGATCCAGGCTCCTCTGTGCAAAACCATTGCACAGAGCAGGTTAAGTAAAAAAAAAAAAAAAAAAAAAAAACCTTTAGTTTTGCTTTAAGAAGGCATAGCTCATTGACCTTCTACCCTAATTAACATAGCCCAGTGACAATCGCTTTAAGGCTGCTGGCATCTAGATTGGGGTCCTGTGAGCTGGAAAATCTTTGTGCAGGGTGCAGCTGAGAGTGGCATTGTTATGTAAGTGACAGCATGGTGTGAGATTGACCAGTCCTTTGTCATAAGTTGGTGAGAAGGGCAGGGTCAGGCACACAGGTCCTAATTACCTTCAGTTTCCTTATCTAGGAAGGGGAGGTCATTCTTTTTCTGATTCCACCACACATGTCGGTAAAATGAGTGAAATGGTTGGCAGGGATTTTTAAATCTGGAGCTGGCCATTTTAAAGGGCCATACTGTCAGAAAAGTGTTGTTAGGGTTTTATTGAATTCCTCCTCTCCTTACACACCACCTATTCATTTCTATGGGCAGCAACCATATGGCATATGGACTCATTCACAACGGCAGAAAAGCTACATTTAGATATGCACATCTTAACACAGCACTACAGCAATCAATGAGCCTATCCACAGTGCTGAACCTACTTCAAAAAATGCATGCGGTGTTTATCTGTGCAGAAGAAAAAAGCAGGACACCTCTATGTCTGGGGCCACGCAGATCTGCAGATTTTACGTGTAAATGCACCTAAACACGTATGTGTAGCCATTCGTGTAACTGAAATGGGCAGCACAGTGGCTAAATGGTTAGCACTGCTGCCTGGCAGTACTGGGGGCGTTAGTTCGAATCCCATCCATGGCACCACCTGCCTGGAGTTTGCATGTTCTCCCTGCGCCTGTGTGGGTTATCTCCAAAGACATGCTGGTAGGTGAATTGACTCCTGTCTAAATTGTCCCTAGTATGTGTATGTATGAATGGGAGTTAGGGACCTTAGATTGTACACCCATTGACGGTTAGGGACTGATGTGAATGTACAACATATATGTGTATGTATGAATGTGAGTTAGGGACTTTAGATTGTACGCCCATTGAGGGTTAGGGACTGATGTGAATGTACTATATATATGTGTAAAGTGCTGTGTAAATTGACGGCACTATATAAGTACCTGAAATAAAATAAATAATTGCACACATCTGAACGTTGTACACATCTAATCCCTGGTTCACACTAATGCACTGTGATTTCTATGCGTTTTCAGAAGCACCTGTGTTGTGATTCTGATGTGAGTTTTTTGTTCTGGCTAATTTTGTGCCATTAGAAATGGGCGTACCTTGCACTGTAATCGCACTGCACTTGAACACCTATACGTTTTCACTGCTATTTTCATTCAAGTCTATGGGGCTCAAAAATGTCATCCCCCTTGACATGTGAATCTACATGTGCTCTGGAATGCACTGGATTTGCATCAGTGCTAAATGCGAGTAGTTTGAGATGCGTGTTTTCTGCAGGACCTTCTGCCAGCAAGAGTGCGCATTCATGCAGAAAATACGCAATTGCCCGTGTGAATGGACCCCAATATTTGCTGACCGCCTCTTTTGCGGAGGTTCTCCGGTAATCACCCACACCCCATAAACATGGAATAGATGGCACCAGGAGCCTTTCCATCACCCAACCTGTGTATACTGAGCAATGATTAGTGGGGATGGGGTCTGTGTATGGAGGTGAAGCCCCCTTGTCCAGTCCTGCTCATGTCTCCCCAGAACCCCTCTTATCAGCACACAGAAGGGACACTACTCCTCCACACACAATACATCATCACCCAGGAGAACACTGGAGCCCATTACCTGCCCCATCACCACCGATCACAGCTCCCCCGGTGACCACTGGACCGGAAGAGGGCTTCCTATGGCACTGCATGCACCTATTGTGTACATGCCACCCACCCGGCATCCCTGGATTAGCGGACATGATCGTATACCTCTCTTCTTCCTCCACCCAGTCATAGCGGAAGGACGGCTGCCTGCTCCCGGTGGCGGAGGGTCGTGCAGAAGCAGCAGCAGCTGGACGGAGTGCGGTGATGAGCGGAGCACGCTTTGTGAATGGGACACATAGGACGAGCCCGAGCCAGCTGCTGCATTCACAGACTGGGCCGGACTACAGCGTCACACACGCCCCCCAGGCTCCTATTGGCTGTCCCGCTTAGAGAAAGTAAAGGCTCACTACACAGCTGGCTGAGGAGAGGAAACTTGCCCAGTACGTGTGTAGAGGGAGAGCCGTGCACTCTGCTGTCTACTGTGTGTGTAATATCACAATGGCCCTGCACTCTGCTGTCTACTGTGTGTGTAATATCACAATGGCCCTGCACTCTGCTGTCTACTGTGTGTGTGTAATATCATCACAATGGTTGTATAATATCACCACAATGGCCATATAATATCACCACGATGGCTGTGTGCTATGGATATACAACACCACAATGGCTGTGTGCTATGGCTGGACATCACCACAATGGCTGTAAATCACCACAATGGCTGTGTGCTATGGCTGGACATCACCACAATGGCTGCATAATATCACCACAATGGCTGTGTGCTATGGCTGGACATCTCCACAATGGCTGTACATCACCACAATGGCTGTGTGCTATGGCTGTACATCACCACAATGTCTACATATTATCACCACAATGGCTGCATAATATCACGACAATGGCAGCATATTATCACCACAATGGCCGCATATTATCACCACAATGGCCATATAATATCACTACTATGGCTGTGTACTATGGCTGTATATCACCACAATAGTTGCAGAATATAACCACAATGGCAGCATATTATCACCACAATGGCTGCATAATATCATCAAAATGGCAGCATAATATCACCACAATGGCAGCATAATATCACCACAATGG